TTTGTGCCGTCGAATATACTTATGCGCAATAATCACCATGGACACTTAAAATCAATTTGTCAGTAATAAACATAATTTGTTTGTAATAATCAAAACGAGACGTCAACCATAGGTCAACACTTCCCTACAGCCTCTCATGGATTATGTCATGTATCACTACAATTTCCCGTTTTTAGATTAGATTTATAAAGACACTGTACCTTTTTTATTCAAAGAGCTTGTGGTCAAAAGCAGAAGCGGATTGTCAGGCTTGCAACTCGTGATATGATATCTTCACACAGAGTGATAACTGGAGCATCAGAAACTAATTCTTTATAGATATTCGGATTCGCGTTGGCTCCATGAATAATGATTTCGAATTATACAACTATTTCTTTGACTTAGTCCATGGATATAGTTACAAGGAGAAGGGAAACATTGATGATTAAGTTTTTTGGGGTTACGGTAAACTACATTTATTCTTCAGAGAAAACAAAATTTCTGCTTTCTTGAACGAGACTTTTAAGTAATTGGGGTGGCGGGGACAATGCCTCTTCACCTCCGGTTCCTTGCCTGATACTAATTATTAGGCACTTCTCGAATCTCACACTACTAAGAACTACCAAAATAAAGCAAGAAAGGATGTGATAGTTGCTTTTGATTAATATGAAGAGATTTTTATGACCTGATAAAAAAGTATCAAATGGAGAGACCTTTCCTCAGAGGTGGTTAGTATCCAGTTTAGGACAAGTTGATTTAAATGCAAGTGGTTTTTTTTTTTTGGCTCAAACTCTTCATGAAATTTATAGTTGCATTACTTATAGCTTCCCCGTTCGTGGACAAAGCGGATTCAAAAATATCTTTCATTCCAAGGCATAACTTCTATCCACGTGCTTCATATTTGCCTGGAGTTCGCTCCCAAAAATATAGTAGCCCCTTACCCCTTATATCCATCCCGTGAGCCTCTTATCTATTCTTATTGAATCACTGCGGGAGAGCAAGTCCAAATAGAAGAATTCATATAGGGTTAGAGATAATCATGCTCAAACAGATGACTTCTATCACATCGAGGTGAGTCTCTACCATTGAGTAATATCCCTTGCTCCTATTGAGGAATAGAACTTACTAATCCTAAGTTAGGAAAAATTGAAGAAAAAGATCTCTAAATAACTTTAGAGTCTGCACAAATGGCCTTTAGTTTTAAGTGTGCTATTTTAGTAATTTTTAAGTAAATTTACACCTCCAAACATTTTTTTCTCTTTCTTTTTTCATTGTATTATTTTATGTAAAGACTAGAAGAGCAATTGGACCCTTCCTCTTGTTTTTCTTCTTCCTTCATGAGGGTCTTGCGCCAACGTGAAAGTGAATGGTGTTCTGTGACTTGAAACTACTGCCTATTCAAAGAAGCAACCTCATTCTATAAAATGCTTACCATAATTATTTATTTATTGGCTTCTGCTTGCTGAGTTAAACAGTCTGTGTGAGATCCCACTACTTGCATTTATGCTTCAATACAATATTTCTGCCAACTGCTGGGAGCACCAGTTTTAAAGCTTCGTCTTCTATTTTGTAGAGCTGAGCAAGAGGGCATACAAGCTGATCCAATTGAACTAAGTCAGTTTGTTCGTTATTTGAAGAAAAACAAACTTCAGAAAGGGAGCTTCTTTATTGGATCAAA